CACACACACACACACACACACACACACACACACACACACTTCATAGTCTACCATGTCAGTCGTATGAAGGGGCTGCCTCTGGTCATGTCTCCTTCAGAGGCTCTGCACCAGCCACCCATCACAAGTCACAATGCAGAACCCCACTCTGCATGTTGGGTGGCCTTGCCCAGCCTTAATATACCGGGAGGAGTTTAGTCTCACTGCAACTCGATATGCCGCTGTGTTTTGTTGATACTCATGGGAGACCTGCCCTTTCCCAAACAGAAGTGGAGGAGGAGTGGATGGGGGGTGGGGACACAGGGGGAGTGGTGGGGAGGGACTGGGAGGAGAGGGGGAGGGGATACTGTGACAGGGATGTAAGGGATATAATATAAATAAATAAGCCTAAGAAAAATACCCTCCCCCCCAAAATAAAAGCAGACCCTGAATCTCAGCCTCCCGACTGCCTCTCTCCCTGTTACTTTCCCAGGGAACTCAAATCAGGAACTTGGACCCTGTGTTTATTACTTCTCTCTGGAGTACCCATCGCCTCTGAACCCAATTTATTTCATACATGATACTGTCCAGTCCTAAGACCTCCTGGGCACCCAGGAGTGACCTCAATTTTCCCTCGGACCTCTTAAAATTCTTTTAATGTGCAATTTATAGTCGCGGTGGGGAGACCTACAGATGGCCATGACGGTGATATCTGACACCATGGTGTCAGGTGGCTTGTTAGAGATGTAAATGTTTGGCTCTCATAGTCCAGGCCTAAGTGAACCAGAGTCCTGGGGTAGGTGGGTGGGAGAGGTAGCCCTTGGGTTCTGCCTACTCTTCACTATACCACGGGCTCCCTCTATTCTGGGTCCTGTCTCTTAGCTGTTCCCCACAGCAGTATTTCCCGGTTAATATTTTACTATTAATATTACCCAGGCTCAGCTTCCAGGAGCCCTATGTTCTGGAAGGATTAACCCAGCCGAGCGGTAGATAGCGGTCTTACCCACTCTACCTTACACGCTTGTTCTCGATCGCACAGACCTGGAGGGCTCCTGTGGCCCAGACCCCAAAGCTCCACGCTGCACTTTTTGGCAAGGCCCCTGCTTCCCTTCCAAGCACAGGCATGTGTTGCATTCACAAAACATATGCAGCAAAGGTCGCTTGTCAGGTTGTTCTCTTATCAGGCCGGCTTTGCACACAGACGCCCTGGCCAGCCCAGGGCAAAGGTCAGCACTACAGTGAGCCAAAGCCACACGTTACTAAGAGACCTCTCTGGACCCACGGAGGGAACTTTCGGCCTTAAGTCAGGTAGGAGCACAAGGCCCAGCCCTACAGGAGTAAGATGGCACACACACCCCTCTCGTGTGTGTGACGTTTGTTTGGATATAATTGTAAAGTTATGGGAAAGCTGCAAGTACGGTATATGGGATTCCCATCTACTCTTCACTTAGATTCACACCTTACCCTACTTCTATTATGACTTTATCATTCTTGGGGGGCGGGGGTATCATTTAAAAACAAGTTAAAGACATTGTGCTCATTTCCCCCTAAATATTTTTGAGAGATACATGTCAAAACACAGCACAGTTATCAATTTTGGGAAACATAATATTGACACAACTGATCTAAAATGCAGTTCAAACTAAGATGACATGAATCACCCCAACAATATCTTTTAAGTCTATTGCTTTTCTTTTCCCCAGCCCGGGACTCATTCAAATAATTCATTCATTCACTCACTCATATTCAAATCATTCATTCATTCACTCACTCATTACATCTAGTTGCTCTGGCTTTTTAATCACTTAACCTGGAGCAGCTTTTCTTGAACTCTTTGGCTCCTGATTGCTCGGTAGACTGACTTTGAATCTGATTTTACCTGGTATTCCAGGATCCAGTTTAGGAAAGCTTTCTCTGAGAGGAAAAAAAACCACCCAGGTAATGTTGTCTCCTTGCAGTGAGAACGCCCTGATTGCCCCCCTGTACCAAAGCTAGCAGAGTGAGCGCTGAGCTCTGGAAAGACTGTGAAGGGTGCCCTCTGCTGGCAATTTCCCGCTCTGCAGCTGTAAGCCTCCAACGAGAGGTCAACAACCCTGAAGGGACACTTAGCTGTGCGACCATGAGAATTATTTCTCCGTATTAACTTTGATCCCCTCGTTGATAAAATGAGAATGGCAATGTCTTCTCTGGATTCCTCACAAATTACAAGGTGGTTGAGTGTGAAAGAGATTTACAAAGATGATCAGGTGTCTCACATTCACGCCATTGTTCATCCTGACTCTTATGACTCGTCTACAGGCCCAGCCTGGTGGGCCCTAGAGCGCCAAAGCTGTTCCTCATGATTCCCACCCACTGCCTGAAAACCTTCGCATGGGTCTGGGCTCTATGGCCGCCATGACTAAAGCCGTCTCCTTGCTGAGTGTCTATGAACACAGGTCAAGGAAGAAGTGAACTGACTTTGGTGTTTTTGTCCCAGTGGGGCCACCACCAGTCTGTGCACCAGCCATTATACCCTCTGTTCACTGGGGCCATAGCCGCCTGCTGTCCCCAGGTGGTAAGAGTGAGGCACGTGCCCTCTGACCCCCACCAAACACATCCTGTCAACAGGCATTGGCTTCCGAGGTCAATGACACTAAAGCGGAGAAATCTGCTGGCAAGATGAGTGAACATTCTCCTCATCCCTACTTCAGATTTTGGTCCACGTTTTCTTTGCCCCTTCTCAGAAGCTTAAGTCTCTGTCCACACCAAGTCTCCCTGCTCTCCTTCTTCATACTTATAATAGTATTTACTGAGTGCCGGCTCCACTCCAGGCGCTGCATTGGGGAGAACTGGAGAGACAATTTGCCTCCACAAAATGAATACAGTTGATGGGATGACAGGAGCGGACAGAGCGGCAGTCTCATTTGAAGACACGTGTGCTCCCTGGGCCTTCTGAGCAGGCATTCCTATCCTGCTGGGCCTCTTAGCCATACTGACTACTGCCGGGTGGCCCAAAGTGTCCTCATTATCGCTCTGTATTTATTCCATGCTTTCTCAGCAACAAGTGAGATCTACTGCACAGGCTCCAAGGGGCTCAGAGAAGAAGAAATAAGGAGATTAAGAAAGAGAGTGAAAACATTTCTCAACCCAGAGATAATGATTTCTAGTAGGGGAGTGTTTGTTTGACATCTCAAACTTACCTTCAGAACTGGAGCCATCTTTGTCCCTATGGGCCCTGCATGTTTTAGGGACCTTGGCATTCTTGAGGATGGGCAGAAGCACATGGAATTAGTGACATGCTCAAAGGGTAGAGTCTTCCACACAGTGGGCATTCGGAATGTATGTGTGAATAGCTGTAAACCTCACCTTGTAGTTTTATAGCCGCAGTAGGCTGCGAGAGGTCAGCTTGGCTGGGTGGGGGAGCAGCCTGGGCAGCGGACTGACTGAGGCCTACCCAGTGACCAGATGGATGTAGACAAATTTCTAAATGGTTTTATTAAATAAAAAAACACAGAGCCAAATATAGGGGTGAAAATCTTAGAGAGATCAGGGAAATAAGGAAGGCCACAGCTAATCTTACCTCACCAACTCCACAGCTTCCAAAGTGAGTGACTTCCTGTCTACCTGGGCTTATATGCCTTGCTGTTCTGCCATCTGATTTGCTCTATGTCTAACTGCATCACTTCCTCTTCCTGGCCAGCTCTGTCTCTTCCTTTCTGCACAGGCCTCCAGAACTCTATGGTTGGTACTGGGATTAAAGGCATGTGTCACCATGCTTGGCTGTGTTCCCTAGTGTGGCCCTGAACACACAGAGATCCTGCCTGCTAAGTGATGGGACTAAGGGCATGTGCCACTATGGCCTGACTTCTTTGTTTAGTTAAAATGGCTTGCTATTTCCTCTGATCTTCAGGAAAACTTTATTAAAGTACAAATAAAATATCACCACATTTCAGCACAAATAAAATATCATCACAGATGGAAGCCACTTCTCATTCACATGTGGCATTCTGTGGTCAGATTCAGTCTGCCTCCAAGGCAACTTCTGAAGAAATGAAACGGGAAAGGTTGTGTATTCACATAGAAATACTCTAGCCATTAATAGATGTTTGCGCACGCGTGCACACACACACACACACACACACACACACACACACACACACACACCCTGCCCAAAATAAGGAATGTTATGAAGTTTTCCCTCAAAAGGCTAGTGTTGAAGATGTGGTCCCAAGCTGTTAGAGGAAGCAGTCTGTGAAGAGGATTCTTTGGTCCCATTCTGTTGTGCAGCATCTTTCTGTGACCTGGCTACCAGGAAGTGATCCACATTCTTCCTCTGTGCCCTTCTACCATGATATGTGGTCTTTCCACAGGACCAGCATTAATGGCCCAATGACTGTGGACAGAAACCTCTGAACTACAAGCCATAAATAAATCTGACCTTCTTTCAATGGTCTCTCGGGTATGTTGCCATAGTGAAAAACCTGACTGCCGAGGAATCACTTTCCAATATCACTTTATGGTGGTCGTTAGGTGGTGAGCACACTGGTCTTCAACCGGTCAGGAGACATTAGTGACCAGATTAACACCGGTGATCAGGACCTACATTGAGTTTACACCGATCTCACCTAGCCCTTCCCTGAATCCTCATCCATGTGTACACAAATAAACTCTGAAAGAATGTGAATGGCACATTCACCAAAAATTTTGATTAATAATTTTTTATAAAATCCTCATTTCTCAAAAAAGTGGATGCATAGCATTGCATCCTGTTGTGGAAGGGATTAGTGACCATTTTGTTTTGTTTTGTTGGTGATGCTGGGTGTTGAACATGGTACCTCATTCATACCAAGCAAACTGTCTACACTGAGTGATACCTTCAGCCCCTGGCAGCAATTTGGAAAAATACAGGAGGAAATTCAATGAGAATAAGGACGATGTCGTCTCGGTCACTCCTGTGAGCCCAGAATCTATACGTAGTAGTGACAATGGAAACCCACCCTGATCTAATTTCCTCTGTTGTGGTGACATAACTTCCCTGAGGAGCTAAGAACACAGTTTCCTGTGTTCTCCCACTAGTATCCCCCAGGTGATAGTTTAAAGTCATATTGCAATTTCTAGCTTTACTTCCACTCGTGAGTAATTCATAAAGTCGGATAGAAACTAAAACTGGCTCAACACGCAATTGATGCTCACACTGAAGGCATTTCTGCTCTTGCCCAACAAGCTCTTGACTGACAAGGTCAAAACAATCATCATAGTTAGACCCAAGATATTCAGGAATGCAACAAAAAACGAAGACAGAACCAAGTACCCCCACTGTCTAAGCTATAATTATAAAAACAGGCACTGACTTGCAGTGTGCCAAAGTCCTGAGATTGCCTTCTGAGGCAGGTGAGCAAACATTACAAGAAACCAAAGGGGGAAGAACAGAAGACAAAAGAAATACTCCTAAGAATGTGTCTACCCCGAGCCCCGAAGGGCAGCACCTTCCTGGGTTGTTCCACAGCATTCACCCCTCAGCCATCTGTCCCCTGGTCCCCACATATCCTGCTGAAGCAGCACTGATGTGGTGACAGGGATCCCCGCTGTGGCCTGTGGCATCTCTCCGCTGGCTTCTGGAGTCCTTTCCGAGAGGGCTGACTTAGCCTGCATGTGAACGGCATGGCGGCTTGTTGCCCTCTGGCTCTAGAGGCTGGAAGTCCATGATGTGAGTCTTCTGTAGCCTTTAAAGATGCAGTGTCTTGAGCTGAGCACTCTGCTCCCTCCCTCCCTCCCTCCCTCCCTCCTTCCCTCCCTCCCTCTTCTTCACTACCCCCCTTAGAGAGAGAGTGAAAAGCTTGGCCTTTTATGTGACTCACAACTCACCAGTGGCAGAGCAGCCTGAAGTCAGCCTACCTCTGTAGCCTGTGCAATGAGGGGGCCTTCCCTGAGGCCCCCATCTCTTCCCTAACAGCAGTCACACTCTCAACCGCCTTCCGGTTTTCCTTCTCTACCTGACTCCGGGGTGCCGCCTGATTCAAGACCGATACCGTTCTGTACACATGACACATTTTCTTCCTCCTGCTCATCAAAGCCCTTTACTATTTCACTGGGCCCCACCCCTCAGCCACCCTCCACCCTGCCAAGCTCAGGTGCCAGTTCACAGAGGCCTCTTACCCTCCTGCACCCAGCACAGGCCTAGGCAACCCTTTCTCCCAAGTTTTCCTTCCTTTTCCTCCTCCCTGTTTCCACACACTTCCCATTCAACTCTTCCCTAATCTCCTAGTCCTCCTGGCTCTGCCAGGCCCAGGGAAAGCTCCGTGTTCTCCAGGCAGCTTCCCGGTCCACCCAGGCCGCAGCACCTGTCCCTCCCCTCCTGTAGTGTGAACCACGGGTACTTGGGCCTCTGGTTTAGCTACGAAGCCTGTGATGTTTGATACCTTACCGCCAAGGACTCTGCTATCTAATTAAATACTCGAGACCTATGTTCAGGCTTACCCTTGACTTTCAGCACTGTGTGGTGAGCTAGCATACTGTCATGCTTGTCTGCGTCCCAGAGCTGAGCTGTCTGGGTTTGTACCCCAGTTCGTTCTCTGTCTCTTATCTACATAGGGTCATGGATTCTGAAAGCTCCTTGGCTGCCCCGGTGAAAACCCATAACAACAGGTGTATGACTGCTACTTTGAAGCGTTAGTTGATTATTCATCCCAGCCAGCCTTTGTGCTACACAGGCAGCATTTTCATTTTCTAACTGCTGAGTGTAAAAGTCCTCACCATCCAGTTTATGTCCCAGTGCAGAGTCAGAGACAAGCCACCAAGTAAGCATGGAGTACGTCTGAAATTGCTACGTGCTGCAGGGATTAACAAGGTAACGGTTAGGCACGAAACGACAGTTTTCAATAGCCCAGTGACCCTGGAAATCGGGCCACCGCATTCCATAATGATTAAAGCAGCCCACTAGTACTTACAATACTACTTGGAACTCAATAAGTGCCAGACAATGATTGCCTGTTGGGCACTGTCAATGGATACAAGATGTTTTTGTAAACAGAAAAGCAGGGGCTGGAGAGATGGCCGCTCTTCCAGAGGGCCCAGATTCAACTCCCAGCAAACAACTGTAGCTTCAGTTCCAGGGGATCCCTGTGTCTCCGCCTGGTCTCTGTGAGCACGAGGCATATGCGGCACACAGACACACACGCAGCCAAACCACCGATCCACATAAAATAAAGAAGAATACCAATTAAATGTTACAATCGCATTAAGTCGAAATGGACCGATTGGCTTATGGTTATAATTGGATTTTGTGGGTGGTCCATGGGAAAATGACTTTTTGCTAATCAGTTCATGCTTAGGACCAGCTTCTCTGGTCATCCCCCCAACGGCTCTGCTATGAAGCCCACCTGCTTTTAACTACCCAAATACGTATGCCTAGTGAAGGATACAGCGTCTCTTTTGTCATGCCATCGCTCAGAGGCCTTAGTCCTTTGCTAGTATCTTTCTTTCTCTCTCTCTCTCTTTCTTTCTTTCTTTCTTTCTTTCTTTCTTTCTTTCTTTCTTTCTTTCCTTCTTTCTTTCTTTCAAAGATTAGTTAACTCCTTGAGAGGAGATGAACCCTTCAAACATAACCTGTATTGCAGAATGAGCCTTTGCAGTAGATAGAAGAAATTCAGACATAGGCTGACAAGGTAGTCCCTTGAAACTTGAGTTGATCTCAGCCCAGAACATCCTCACACAAGTGAAGCTTAAGGTGGCACAGGAGAACTGAGAATCTAGCAATTTCTAAGGACTGACAAGGATACGAAAATACATTTTTTCCCCTACACCCAGAAATTCTGCCATCAAATGTGGGCTTTCCCACAGCAAGTGGTTCTTTCGACATCAGCTTGGCTTCCGACAGTTTAGGGTGGTTCTGGCATTACCCACAGGGTGAGGGCTTAGCCTCCCAGGACTGTCCCCCAGCACACATCCCAAGTGTCTCAACCCTTGGCTCACCAGCTCCAGTTAGGGTTTCCCACAATTCCCTTCCTCTGACTCAGTGATTTACTAAAATGACCCTCAGAGCTTAGGGAAACACTTGGTCGACTATTTATTACTGGTTTACAATAGAAAACACAACTAACAAGCAGTAAAATGATGGAAGACAGACAGGACAAGGTGTTCAGCTGGGTACCTGTGCCCTCCTGGGCACACACTCTCCCGGGCCAACAAGCCCAGAGCAATGAGTCAGCTTATTTCAGAATTTTATGGTAGTTTTGTGATGCGGGCATGACTGGTGACTGAACTCAGTCCCCAGTCCTGCCTGAGAGAGTAGGGGGTGGGGCTGAAAGCTGCAAACCTCCAATCCTGTGACTGGATCCTCTAGTGACCATCTTAATGTGCATCCAGTCCTCTGTTCTCCAGCCAAGGTACCTCATTAGCATAGCACTCTCCAGGGATCCCAAGGGTCTTACAAATGTCAGATACCAGGCACCAAGTGGTACAATAATTACATACTGGCAAAACCTGTGAGAGTTTTGGGGCCTCTAGGGGGCGGGATAGAGGCCAGATAGCATGTTTGCTATGTCACAAGTCCCCACCAGGCAGCGGAATCTTGTGACTGCCATCTACTTCTTGGGGGTTTTCCTCCCTCACTGAGGGGTCTTTGAGATTTCCCTAGACACTGTACCAATCTGGAATCCTCTAAAGTTCAGAGCTGAGAGTCTCAGTGTATCCTGCAAGGACCAAAAGCGGAGCCTCCTTAATTTCATCTAGGTGAGCAGGAAAGGCACCAGAAGAGGGCTGGAGAAAGGGGAGCATGGGCAGGCACCTCTAATTTCTTAGCGTGCTTGAGGCTTTGGGTGAAGTCTCCAACGCTGAAAAGGAAGACAAAAGTAAGAAACAAACAAAAAGAATTATAGGGGCCTATCTTTCAATACCCAGACACTGGGTGGTGAAATTGTGAAATATTTATGAAGTGATCAAAGGTCTTGGCGCCTCCTTCTGGCATTAGGCTGTTCTGTACATGTGTCAACAAATGGCCCTCTGTGAGAATGCTGATCATATCCAAAGCCAAATAAGAACTGGCATTTACTGAGCAGTTTTGATGTGCTAGATAATTGTGCCGGGCGCTCTACGAACATTAGAGTCCTCACAATAATCCAGTAATGGGGGCAAACAGAAGAAAGGTATCATGACATATTGTGTATGAAAATGAGAATGTTGCGGTGAACCCATTACATCATCTGCTAACTAGAGTAATAAAAAAAACAGCAAAAAATAAAACAAAGTAAGCCCCGTTATTATTAATAAATTCGCTTTTATGGTCTTCCAGAAGAATCCATCAGTTTGCTGAGAGAATTTAAACATTTGGCCTGAGATCACCTAGCTAGTGAGGGTCAGAGCTGGAATTCCAACCAGGTGATCCATTTCTGACTGTCCGATCACCCGTGCCTCTCACAGCTCAACCTGGAGAGGCTAACACAGCCGGTGGGGGAAGGTGCCGAGCGAGCGCCTGAAAACAGTGTGAGCCAAGACAGGCTGGCTGGGGGATAAGACATCAAGGGGCGACTCTGCAGGAGGCGTCAGAGAACAGAGGGATCCGATCGGTGTGGACGGCTGTGTGTGGGGCTGTGACTGGAGATCACAGTGGGGGTTGTTGACAAAGCAGAGGCTGGAGGCAGGCAGGGACCAACCGACCTTTGATGTCTCCTCACAAAGTGAGTTCCTGGTGCTGAAAGTCTGGTAAGTGACCCTGGCAGACACCTGCGGTGGCCGCAAGTGTCTCTCCCTTGACTTCCTGGCCAACCCAACTTTTTTTCCTTTTTAATGACTTATTTTTATTTTTTATGTGCATCAGTGTTTTGTCTGTGTGAGGGTGTCAGGTCCCCTAGACCTGGAGTTAGATGTGAGCCAAGCCATCTCTCCAGCCCCCACCCCACCCCCTTTTTTTTAAGCAGGAAATCCACACTGTACTTGGCGAGGCAGCCATAGAGAACCCATCTCCTTGTCAGTGATTTAGGACGACTTGAGCAAGTACAGCTGTTGCTAGAATCCCTTCTCTGGGAGAAAAGCAAACAATGCCTACGCCTCCTCCCGCCGACAAACCAAGGTAGGAGCCCACCAAAGTTTCACCTGGGGGAACCCGTGAGTTCATTAGGGTTACTTACAGAGCGGTGGGTGAGGGGTACAGTCAGGAGCCAGGGCAACCTAAAGTAGCCCGCCTGGAAGGTTCGCACCCACAGGGAAGATGGATTCCCCGTGGTTGAGGACTAAACCCCCTTCCTTTCCCCTCCTATATCCTCCAGCCCCTCCCACAGCCGCGGCCAATCAGGGCACAACTGCCCACAACTGGTTGGGAGATGTGGCTGGATATGCAGGTGAGGGTCCCATGGTCCTCCCCACTCCTTTCTTCTATGAGGGAAGTCCCCCAAAGATGGTGGCAGTTGGACTCAGAGGCTAGTACTGTCATACGGGCAGTGTGCCGAGTTCTTAGGTAAAGGTCCCTTTCCTGTTGCAGACACGGGGACAAAGTATCCCACCTCTTGCTAGACCCTGTGATATCCGGATAGAAGAGCTACCCTGGTGACTGACAGAGTCCAGCCTAGGAATGCCAGAGCCAGAAGCAGGAGGGACTTGGGCCCTGCCTGTGGAATTACTGGTCACCTTCCAGGGGTCATTTTCTCCAGGCTACTTGTCAAGTGAGATGCTAAGTGTCTTCATGGTGGGGCCAACTGATAGACATTCCCAACACGCCCCCACGGTAGAGCATGGTCACACGGTCACGCATGCCGGGTGGGACACTTAGTCATTTCCACCTAGTCATTTCCGGGTCAAACGTTTTGAGTGACCCAGGACCCCTGTGGCCATGTGGTTGCATAAAGCATGCAGCGCAACCATGTGATCTATGTGCATGTATGGAATAGCTGCGTGGGCCTGTGTGCGCAGGCGCGACTCAGCCTTTATGAGCCGGTGCCATGTTTCTCCGGCCCCCTTCACACATGTGTCTTTCCACAGGCCTGTGCACATCTGTCCCTCTCTCCTCATCTTAATAAAACTCTTGCTAGTGGATTCTGTTGTTTTTTTATGACTTTTCCTCGCAGGGTAAGAGCGCTGCTAAAAACCAACACCAACTATCCCAGCTTTCTGTTTCTTGGGACTCAGATGCATTTTGACCAATTTTTCATCCACACATTTTTAAGCAGGGAGTTCCGGGCTGACATGAGCCTGTTCTAAAGGTTACTCCATCCACCAAGGAAAGGTAAAACAGTGGAAGAAGCCGCCATAAGGAATAAAGTTAGGAGGCGGTTCTGGGTGGACAGACATCGGAACTCTTCTTTCCTTCATTCTGAGGAGGTTTATGTCCGGGGAAACGGTGAGGGAGGGCAGAGGCCACAAAAGTGATGTGCTAACCCTAGTTAGTCCCTCCACGCCAAGTCCTGATGGTGTTTCTGCGCTGTCCTCTGCCATGGAGCTGAGCAGACCTGGTTCCGAGCAGCTTCGACCTGGTTGGGGGTAAAGAAAAACAGGCAGCATGTTGAAGATGCATAGAAAGCGTCCCCTTGCTTGCTGGCCATCCCCTCTCCTTAGACGGTGACCTGGACTGTAAAGCAGAGGCTGCCGTGGGGCCCAGTGGCTGAGCGCTGGCCCAGCATTTGTGAGGGCCTGGGTTTGACCACCAGCACCGTTTACTTAAAAACAAAAACCTCAGCAGTCATGTTTGTCTAGTATGCAAGTGGGCTTGACCGCACCCCATCCCCCTCAACACCATAGTAAATACACACATGCGTATGTACGTGCCTACACACATTGAAGAGATCAGGGCGTTGGTCTTGTCTGCTCTGTTCCTAGAACGCATTCGATGAATGTCTGTTGAACAAACAAACACGCACGCGGTCCCATCACTCCAGGCTTGGCCTGAGCGCCCTGCCAAGGCTCTGCCCTCCCTCCCGCCTGCCAGCTGAAGTGACCTTGCACTTGCGGAGGGTTTAGGGCACAGCTAGGACTCCCAAAGAACCAGCTGCTGCCCCTCCTAATCTCCCTGCTGCTGACATCACTGAGGTGCCCTGTGGCAGTCCTTCCTGAGTCCTTGATCACCCGCTCCCTTGCATCCTTCCCTGACCCCCTCTCCCTTTGTTCTCCGCTTCCTCCGGCACAGGCCCCTCTTTCTTCAGATCTGCTTTCCCACCTACGCCGTGCTTCCTGACTGTATTCCTCCCAGGCTCCTGTCACACTAACCTCATTGTCTCCTGTCCCCATTCCTCAACTGAACTCACCCCCGTGTGCCCTCTGCAAACCCCAAGTTCCTCCCAAAGCCCTTCCTCTTCCTCCTCCTCCTCCTCCTTTCTTCTGTTTCATCCAAAAAAAAAAAAAATGCACCTACTCCAGATTCAAACATGTTTCCCCTGGCACTTGGTTCTGTGTGCCCAGGTAGCCTTTGGGCCACCTCTTTCCACAGGAAAACCATCCAAAGCAAAGCTCTGTGCTTTGTGGCCTTAACTGTGGGCCGCACACCTGGATTTGCCCCGAGCCAACATCATCCTCTGCTCCCGACAATCCATCAAAGTTCACAAGCACTGAGATCCCTCCGGGGTCTAGCCAGCTTTGGCAGGGAGTCTCCGGGAAATGTGAATGTACGACATCGTCTCCACGCACGAGTGCTATAATTATGTCCCGTCAACCACGGGACTACAGTCTCATTTCCAGGGTTGGCACCCTTGAGTGACCACCACCTTAGCCAGCAACCCTGGCATTGTGGTCAGCCTGCAGGGCCTTGGCCATGCCAGCCTGGCCCTGACAATCCAGCCTAGCCCACCACACTATGCTATCAGGAGCTGCAGGGCTCAGTTTCTCTCGCTAAAGCTTCCTTCCTGCTTGTCTGCTGGAACCAGTGAGCACCAGAGGCTCCTCTCTGGCGGAGAGAAATAGCTGTTTAAAGACCAGGCCTCAGGCTGGGGATGCAGCTAAGAGGCAGAGAGCTTGCTGAGCTAGCACAAGGCCCTGGGAGGGCCTCAGCACTTTGCAGGTCGGAAGGATGATACATCAAGTCTCTGCAGAGAGAAAAACCAGGGGTTCCCCAGCACGTTTCTTGCATGGTAATGGAATGCTAACAAGGTCCTGCTCCTCGGGCTCCATGTTTTCCGCTTACCCCTTACCATGACAGACAGTAAAGATGCCCCTTCCTTGGGCCTGAGCAAAACCTCCAAGGTCTTCTCCATGCCCAGACCTTTGGAGGCAGCACCCACCAGCCGGCACTTTGCCAAAAAATTTCAGGCCATGGGAGCAGGGCATCACCTCAGCGCACATCTTTGTTCTACCCTATCTTTGCCACATTTCTGCTCAGCTAACCTGGCCCCTCTACATCTGTGCCTATCTGGGGACCCAACATGAGCCTCCTTTCTGCCCTTGGTGACCCCACATGCCAGACCTCACCTGCTTCTCTAGCCGCTGTTACAGTGGGGGAGGGGCAATCTTAGCTTGGGGCCCTACGCATCTTTTAAAACCTAGTAAGAAGAAAACACTCTTTCCAACTCCTGGGGTGTAGAAAAGCCCAACATATGGAACTGGGTGTGGTGAATGGGGAGGGGAGGAGAGCGAGGGAAACTGAGGAGAGAAGGGGGGAAGAAGTCTCCTCTCTATAAAATGTCCTGCCACCTTAAGGACCCTAGAGCCGAAGATTCTGGAACCTTCTCAAGGGGTATCCAGGGAAGGGGGTGAGTGAGTAGAGGGAGGAGGACATCGGCAAGGACCAGCCAGTGCCCCAGGGCTCCTGGTCCTGGCACTCCTGGGTGCCTGCCTCAGCCTGGCTTACTGTACTCCCCAGCCCCTGGGTGGCATGTGGGACTGGAGACTGGAAGAAGTTTGGAACGGTCTCTCTCAGGAAAGGGACATGGAAGCTGAAGAGTGAAGAACGAGCCAACCAAGACCAAAAAGGAAGATGGAGGCGGCCAGGCGGTGGTGGCGCACACCTTTAATCCCGGCCCTTGGAAGGCAGAGGCAGGCGATCTCTGTGAGTTCGGGGGCGAGCCTGGTCTACAGAGTGAGTTCTAGGACAGGCAAGACTACACAGAGAAACCTTGTTTTGAAAAGAAAGGTGAAGTTAGAGGTGGGGTGTGTATGTGTGTGTGTGTACACATATTCATGTATGTATGTATGTATGTGTATGCATGATTGTGTGCATTCATACTTATGTGTATGTATGTATGTGTGTATGTACATGCACATGAGTACATACACACATGTCCTGCACTGGGGGTGAGGGCAGGAGTTCAGGCTGGGCATGTACATGTCCAAACCTCCACAGGAAAAGAGACAGGAAAACAGAGTGTGGCAGAGCAGTGTCCCCAGTGAGGAGGTGAGCCAGGAGGGTTTGGAAGGAACAGATGATAGGCAGCCAGGAAGGGCAGGGCCAGGGCCAGCTCCAGAAAGATAGGCAGTACCTTATTTTCACACTGAACCCTACACAATACCCAACCCAAACAGGTGTCTAGGCCATGTTTATTGAACAAATAAATAAGTAAAAACATTTTGATAGAGAAAAAAATTGAAACAGGAGAAGGGGGCCTGATGAGCGAAAACAAACCAGCCCTCCAAGTCCCCAAGTTAGCTGTGCCACCCTGAGAGCCGTGCCACCCCTTAGCTGGCACCAGGAAGTACTGTGTCCGTCTGGCAATCACAGGGACAGGTTTGCAATGAGACACATAGGGCATGATTTGAGTTGGTCGTATTTACTAGGACAAATGTGTCATTTATTCAAAGCAGGCCTCTCTGGAGCCAGGCGTGGGAGGGTTACCAGGCTGGGACTTTACGTGGCAGGTTTGGAGGAGGGAAGAGAAACCAGCCAGGCTCCATCTTGGTGCAACTCATCTGAGAGGATCTCTCTCTGCTACTCTGTCCATCTTGCAGACGTCCAAGGATGGAGTCATGTTAGAGTTGTGGAGGAAGGAGAGATGGGGAGGGGAAAGAAGAGACAGGATTAGAGAAGGAGGGAAGATGGGAAAGAGGGAGGGAAAGAGGGAGGGCAGGCAACGGTATTATATTATCTCATGTGAACTCTAACTTAAAGAGATATCCACAGACAAAGGTGTCTAGGAAAGACTGTCCCTTGCCACACACTCTATAACTGGGTTATAGCCCATGTGCTGAAAGGCAACAAGTGTTACCCAATGCCCAAGTGAGAAGAGACTCCCCACTCTAGAGTGAGGATGCCACTGGCTGTGGCTGGGACCACATGACTCACCAGTCACTAGAACCTGGAACAAAACAGCCCCATGTTCAGCTGAGTCCTTGTCATGGTGTTATCTCCCAATCTCTGGCCTCCCCTCTGGTACCAGAGCGCCTGACTTAGCTGGGCGAATGGTTGCCTGGAATGATGATTACATTTCCAAGGCCGTTGCCTCTGTGGCTAAGTTCTAATCTGCAGTCTATAAAGCAGAGGGACCACGGACAGCCTTGGAGA